TTGCGTTTTATGTAGGCGCGTTTTGCAATTTTATAAACCACGTAAGTTGCCCAGATCTGTGTGAGGAATAGAATGAATGCACCTATGGGGAATATAATATTCCACGCCGTCACAATTTTCAGATGGTCTAATTAAAGTTATTGAAAGAAATAATTATCGGCTGTTCATCATCATCTTTGAACGAATATTAGTCGAGTTCAGAAATGAGGAACTAAGTTACCTTTATTTGGCAGCATATCTTGTCCTAAAGACGGATATTAGAAATTAAAAAATTAGCATTTTTTTAACCATTTAATAAATAAATCAATGTAACTCAATACATACCCCAAAATATATAGCACCAAGCTAACGTGGCTGTTTTTACAACGAAAACTTGTATTGAAGAAAACAATAGCACACCGGAGGCGTATTTTGGAAATATTCGATAAAAAAGTAGACCGAGGAATGTACTTTGCTCTGTTGTTGCTTGGAATAATAGTAACACGGCATGAGGATATATTACAAGTCCGCTAATTTATTGTACAGAGAGGTGATTTAATTACTATTATTTTTAGAGTGAAAACTATCTAATTCATAAATTACGTACCCCTCTATGACAACGTAAATTCCTAGCGACATCATGGTCATTGTTACACAATGATGAATTATAAGTGGTCTTCGCATTGTTGTTCGATATAAAAGTTCAAATATGTACCTTTTACAAATTAATCGATGTTAGTGGAAGTCGAAATGAACGATTACGTCATGAAATAACTTACAAATCACATATTAATAAACCGGCAACTTGGCCTAACTTATAATCACGTAAACTAATCTCTTTATTGACTAGGAGATTATACATCGCAATCAAAAGGAAGAAGCCAACGGCTGTAACGATTATCTCAAGGATATACGTTGTGCAGTTTCGAAGATGCTCTATTGACATCTCTGGATTATACTTTCTGAGCACTCGTTCAATCAGTTTGGCAGAGAAATAGAGTATCAGTAGATAAAATACGTGATTAGTCGTGTAGATGAAGATCGTAGTTTGATTAACTGTTTACGTATTTGGTTTATTTGGGAGATAAAAAAGGTATTGTTATTTTCGCATATTTTTTGGA